CTGATCCATGGGGAGCCTGCTTCCTCCTCTCTCTCTGCCTGCCTCTTTGCCTACTTGTGATCTCTGTCTGTCACATAGATAAATAAAATCTTTAAAAAAAAAATAGAAATACCATATAATCCAGGAATTCCACTACTGGGTATTTACCTATAGAAAATGAAAACACTTAATGTGCAAAGATATATACACCCCTGTGTTTATTCCAACATTATTTATAATAGCCAAGATATGGAAATAACTTAAGTGTTGATTGATAGATGAATGGATGAAGAAGTCTTTGTGTGTGTGTGTGTGTGCGCGCGTGTGTGCATTCCATTATGTATATGTATATAGACTAGAACATTACTCAGCCATAAAAAAGAGATGCCATTTGTGACAACATGGATAAAACTAGAAGGTATTATGCCAAGGGAAATGAGTCAGAGAAAGCCACATACCATATAATTTTACTTATATGTGGAATCTAAAAGAAACATGAATTTAAAAAAAAAAGCCCAAACAGACACAGGCTTGTAAATACAGGGCATAAACTGGTGGTTACCAGAGTAGAGGGGAGTGGGGAATGGACAAAATAGGTGAAGGGAATTAAGAGGTACAGACTTCCATTTCTGAAGTACAGAAGTCATGGAGATGGAAGGTACAGCATAAGGAATACGGTCAGTATATCATGTGAAGTAGGGGTTCTATTTTTGTGTGTATGATATCCAGTTGTCCCAGGACCATTTGTTGAAAAGACTGTTTTTTTCCCCCTGAATTGAGTAGTCTTGGCACCCTTGTCAAAAATCCATTGACTGGGGGAGCCTGGGTGGTATGGTGATAAATGGTAGCTACAGTTACCATGGCGAGCACTGTGTAATGTGTAGAATTGTTGAATCACTCTGTTGTATTCCTGAGACTAATACGACATTGTATATCTGTTATACATCAATAATAAACATTTAAAAAATAAATGATAAAATATTTTAAAAATGAATTGACTGTAAATATGAGGGTTTATTTCTGAATTCTCAATTCTATTCTGTTGATCTTTATATTTATCCTTCTATTATTACACACTATTTTTAGCTTTGTAGTAAGTTTTGAAATTGGGAAACATGAGTCTTTCACCTCTGTTCTTTTTCAAGATTGTTTGGCCATTCCAGATCTCTTGCATTTCCACATAAGTTTTAGGGTCAACTTGTTGATTTCTGCAAAGAAGCCAGCTGGGAGTTTGATAGAAATTGTGTTGAATCTGTAGAACAATTTGGGGGAGTATTGCCATCTTAACAATTTTAAGTGTTTCAGTCCATGAACACTGGAGGTCTAAGTCTTCTTTAATTTCTTTCACTCTTTCTTTTTTAAAAATTTTTTGGTGGGCAGCAAAGTGAAGTTTATTCAGTGATAGTACAAAGCTCCCAGAGAGGGAGGGGACCTGAGAGGGTTGCCCTCTTCTTTAATTTCTTTCAACTGTGTTCAGTAATTTTAGAGAACAGGTTTTGCCCTCCTTAAGTTTATTCTTAAGTATTTATTCTATTTGATGCTCTTATAAATGGAATTTTTCTTAATATCATTTTTTGTTCATTGCATGTGTATAGAAATACAGTTGATTTTGTATATTGATATTATATTGTGCAACCTTCTTAAACTCATTTGTATTAATTTTTTTTGGTGGATTCCCTATATGATTTTCTATATATGAAATCATGTCATCTATGAGTAGAGATAGTTTTATATCTTCCTTTTAAATTTATATGTTTTTCATTTTCATGTTCTGTTTCATTTTGTTGCTTCATTGCCCTGGCTTGCCACCCTAATCTTCTCTTACTTACCAGCAGTATTTGGTATAGTTGATTATTCCTTGCTTTTTTGTAGCCATCTCTTCACTTGACTTAATGGACACCATAATTTTTTGGTTTCCCTCCTGTCTCAGTGTTTACTTTCTCATTTCTTTAGCTGGTTCTTTCTCTTCCTTCTGAACTCTTAACCATCTCCCACCTTTGAAATTAAGACTCATGTATCCATCTCCGTATTTGATAAACCCCACTTAGATGTCTAATATGCAGCTCTAATTTAACCTTAAATGGAGTGTTTTGTGGGAAAAAAAAAGAGAAAGAAATGTTAACATTTACTGAATGTTTACTATTAGCACTATTCATTATCTTGTTTACAACACATCTGAATTCTGATACCCAGCGGACATGAACCCTGGTCACTTGGATTCCAGGGCCTGATCTTCCTTCCTAACAGCTATCCCAAAGTGTATAGCCCTACTTTTTGTTTCTTGAGATTGTCCTTTGGAGTAGGGTGGGACAGCTCAGGAAAAAAAAAAAATCCTACAGGGTTTCCAGTCAACGGAATTAGAAATGCTTCTGAGCCATGCAGTGCTTCGGAGCTGTGGCTTCTGTTTTCTGTACAGACTGGTTACACTTCAGTGTGCAGACAGGCTTCACCGTTCGCAGGCAAAGCCTACATTGAGTTTCTGGTGAGTTCGTCTTGGTCACTTTTCTAGGTTGCATTTTTTTTCGCCTTCAGATACACTTCCAGTCCCACAGAACTGTTCTCATTCATCTGCTTAACTGGAGTCTCCATCTTTATTCCTCATTCCTTCTTGTCTCTTTCCCATTTGTTCATGAACTATCAGCTCCCCTGGCTTTGTGCAAGACATGCCACTCCAACATTTCCCTTTTCAGCACCTGGCTCAGCTTTTGCTCAGCATTTCTGACCCATCTGTTTTACTTTTCCTTGTTAAAATACTGATTACAAGAACAACAACAACAAGTTGTACTTTTTTGGGGGAGGGGGGTTAGTCTTTTTTTTTTTTTTAATTGAAGTATAGTTAACAAGTTACTTGTACTTTTAAATAGTGATGAGAGAACTCCATTGTCTCCCTAGAATCTTTTTTTTTTTAAAGATTTTTATTTATTTATTTGACAGAGAGAGATCACAAGTAGGCAGAGAGGCAGGCAGAGAGAGAGGAAGGGAAGCAGGCTCCCTGCTGAGCAGAGAGCCCGATGTGGGGCTTGATCCCAGGATCCCAGGATCATGACCTGAGCCAAAGGCAGAGGCTTAACCCACTGAGCCACCCAGGCACCCCTCTCCCTAGAATCTTTAATGAAAGTTAAGTGCAAATGTTGGGAATACATTTTTTTACAATAAATTTAGGCCAGATTAAAAACTAGCCTATTCTCAGGTAGCATTTGCAATTGATTTGGTACCCATGGCGGATATCCCTTTAAGAAAAATAGAATACCGTGGTGAGATTGTTTGTCCAAGTTCTCATAGCCGGTTAGGGGCAGAGCCAGTTCTCTTCCCAGTTGAGCTGGTTTATTCTGATAAAGTTTGTATGTAGGGTCTGCCGTCCACTGTGGGGTGAAGTCTCATCCCCAGGTTTTGCCTCTTGCTTCCCAGAGATCTCACCTTTCCCAGAAACCCTCCCCTGGGGACTTTATTCCATTCACCTTTCCCTATTGGGCCTAATTATCTTTCCCTTTCAAAGTATCAGCCCACCATGAGTCACTATGGTAGTATATCCAGAGTCAGAACTAGATGCAGAACTCAGCCTTCTGTGGCTTTGGGCCACCTCTCTGAACTTCATAGATCATCTGGCATTTACAGCTCCCGCCTTTTCAAGCCTTATGATTCTATGATAAGCAGTCTTGGGCTAACATCTGAATAGTTGGCAAACGCTTAATATGCGACACAGGGATGACAAATAGGTAGCTTCTTTTCCATCATTTGGTTCTGGCAGGCTCATTATAGCCATTTCATCGCTGTCACATGGAACCCGGCCATGACTCAGACTTCTGAGTCCAGTAGCGCCCTAGGTAACCACTGCCACTAGATTGCAGCTGACATGTGTTTGTCCTGTCTTCCCTCCCACATTTAGTGCTTCACTCTGAAGGAAGGATTAGTGGTAACCAGGTTACCATAGATGTTGGGAACATGGGGTCTGGGGTTTAGCTACCTGCATTTGAATCTTGTTTCCACTACTCCCTTTTTGTATGACCTTGAGAAAATTACTTCTCTGGGCCACAGTTTCCTTTTTTGAAATATGGAACATAATAATAATGCTACCTCATGGGGTTTTAGAGAGGAATAAATGAAATATTAGGTACAAGAAAGTGCTTAGTACAGTGCCTAGCACATAGAATCTAATGTTAACTCTTGGAAGGCTGGTGGAAGAAAAATTCTTGGGTCAAAATGGTCTTGTGGCACCCTTTCAATCCTTCAAAGTTGTCTGATATCCATTCTATGAGTGTGGATTGATCCCTTTTTAAAGTTTATTCATTTATTCATTTATTTACCAAAAATTTAGGGCTTTCTGTATGCTGGGCTTGCACCCAGGTGTCTAGGATCTAACAGTAAACAAGTCCCTTTCAGAGCGCACAGTGTAGTGGAGATGACAAGTAAAAAGGTAGTTACAGTAGCCTTATTAATTGCAGAGATTGGAGTTTCAGGAGTAATCCAGGGTATTTAAGCTGTTCAGGAGTAACCTTCTTGGCGATAATGTTAAATCTGGGTGGGAAGATGAATACTTGAGGCCTCCAGACCTGGCTGGCCTCTTACGAGTATTTCATGGGTATTGGATCCCTTGGGGGATTGATAATGTTCTCGCTGGTGGCACACCTCCGCGGCACGCTCATGCTCCTTGGCATTCAGCCAGTCACCCAACTCATAGCCCCAGACTTTCCCCGTTGCTCTCTGAGCTGCTGTCCCAGGGTCTCAGAGCAGATAGAGTTGAGAAGCAGAGATGTACAGACAAAGGAAGGAGACTTGAAGAGGCAGCTCCTGGATAGTTGGATCTCTCTGTGTGCCTTAGGAAAGCATGAACGCCAGGCTCATCAGGGACTTGGAAAGTCAATGAGCTTATCCCCCTGCCTAACTCAGTATGACAAATGTCCCTGACAGCCTTGTATGGTGGCAGTGTGGAATCTGGGTGGAAGGAAAAAAAATGCCCTTGTGTGGCTGGGGTTGGGCGTTGGTGCTGTGATCCATGCTGTCCCCTCGCTGGTGTTTTACAGTAAACAGCTGTTGTGTGACGTGATGATTGTGGCGGAAGATGTCGAGATAGAAGCCCACCGTGTGGTCCTGGCAGCCTGCAGCCCCTACTTCTGTGCGATGTTCACAGGTATGGTGAGGGGCAAACAGTGACCCACAGTTACGGGCCCACAGCCCCTCTGAGGGAATGTTTTGGGGGGGTGGCATGAGGGGAGGGAGGAAGGAGGATGCCATGACATGAACTGGGAGGAGCTTCTGTGTGTCAGAGACTATGTTTTGCCCCACGGAGGACTTGATGCAACCAGCCTGGCGTGCAACCCCTTGCCCGCTCTGAGGAAAGAAGAGGTAGAATCGGAGCTTATTAGTTCTCAGACTTCAGCGTGCATCAGAATCGTGCAGGGGAGCTTTTAGACATGTAGGCTCTTGGGCTCATCCCCACGCCTCTGATCTTTCATTTTGCAGATGGGAAACACTGAGGCTGAGAAAGGGGAAGGAACTTGCCCCAAATCACCCAGGATATGGGTGGAACTTGGCTTCTTGATACCTTGCCCCGTGCTGGACTAGTTTGTCCTTCCCTAGCCATTCCTCCCAGGCAAGGTCTGCCAACCTCCTTGAGCCTTTACAGGAGTGTAGAAGACATTTGGAAGAAGTGATGGTGGGGCTTGGAGGGGATAATAAGACAGGAATTTTCACCATCTGGCGTTCAGTTTCAGTACCTTTGCCAACTTTCTGGAGAAGCCATCCTTCTTGTGCATGCCAAATAGCCCTGTCCAACTAGTTCACATGTGAGACTGAATTCCTCGAAACCCGTGGGTGGAGCTTCCTGTCTGTAGCACCTTGCAGCACCTCCTCTGCTCTACAAATCATTGCTGTCCAAGGGCCAGCTGGGCTGGGTGAGACCCTCGGACTGGGTCAGGTGTCCCTTCTCCACGTTTGCCAAGTACCCAGTGCTGCTTTTGAGCGTGGTCACTATCCCTCTGTGTTCTTGTCGGTTTCCTGGGGTCTGCTGTGCCCGTGCTCTGGGGTCTGGTATATCAGCTGCTTCTCATGCTGCAGGTTTTTTGTTTTTAAATTTAAAATTTTTAAGAGATTTTATTTATTTGTCAGAGAGAGAGATGGAAAGAGAAAGCACACACAAACGGGGAGGGGCAGAGGGAGAAGCAGACTCCTTGTGGAGCAGGGAGCCCAATGCGGGGCTCGATCCCAGGACCTTGCAATCATGACCTGAGCTGAAGGCAGAGGCTTAACTGACTGAGCCACCCAGGCGTTCCTCGTCCTGCAGTTTACAGCTCAGGTGTCTCCTCTGAGAGGCCTCCTCTGATGACTCTCGCCATAGTTCCCCACTATGTACTTTTTAATAACATTTATCCCTCTCTAAAAATCCTGTTGTTGGTTGTCGATGTGTTCTTTATCTTTCTCTCCTCACTAGACTGTAAGCTCCGTGAAGACAGAGGTGTTGTTGGATTTGTTTACTACCACATCCTAAACATCTGGTACACAGTAGGAGAATTTTTTTCATTAACTTACAACGTATTACTTTCCCCAGGGGTATAGGTCTGTGATTCATCAGTCTTACACAATTCACAACACTTACCATAGCACATACCCTCCTCAATGTGTGTCCATCACCCAGCCACCCTCTCCTTCCCCCTCCACCCCCCAGCAACCCTCAGTTTGTTTCCTGAGATTAAGAGTCTCTTATGGTTTGTCTCCCTCTCTGGTTTCATCTTGTTTTATTTTTTCTTCCCTTCTCCTATGATCCTCTGTCTTGTTTCTCAAGTTCCTTATATCAGAGAGATCATATGATCGTTGTCTTTCTCTGACTGACTTATTTCACGTAGCATAATACCCTCTAGTTCCATTTGTGTCATTGCAAATGGCAAGATTTTTTGGATAAGATATTATGGCTGCATAATATTCCATTGTATATATATACCATATCTTCTTTATCCATTCATCTGTTGATGGACATCTAGGCTCTTTCCATAGTTTAGGAGCCAGATGTTTTTTAAGTGAATGAATGAAATGCCTCCACAGTTGATGGTGAGCTTTGAGCATCTGAGGACCAAGTCTTGTCACAGTTGAATCCTCAGAGCCAACCACACAGGGCATGGTGTTTAGGAGACAGTAAATAAGTAAAGTTTGAAAAATGTGAGCTTGCTAAGAATGGGTGAGTGCAGGCACCCAATTTTTGCTGAATGGGCTCTTATTCTCTTCCTAATACATAGTTTGTGGCCTTTCCTGGGCAAGAGTTGTTCTAGTTGGGAGTGACTTATCCCTTGTGTATTGAGAGTTCCTCCCCTGGGGCTCCCTGTTGGCTCATCTTGTAAAGGACCTGTGCCTCTACCAAGTGGACTAAGACACTTACCTCACTGTGAGCCTTGGGCTGGGAATTAGTAGCCAAAAAAAGGTGGCTTAGAAAACCAGCTAATTTTACTACCTGGAAGTTTTGAGCTGGATTCTCTTTGGTGTAGTTTCATACTCTAGTAGTAAGGTTTTTATTTCTTTGTTTGCTCCTCTCCCTCATCTATTCCTCTGTCTTTAAAGTAATTCATTTTGTTTGCAATAGTTATTTAGCTGCACCTTCACTAAGTACCTCTGCCAGTCCTTTTTCTCTTGCCTGCATGGTTTGGAAGGTCCAGTGTTGAGAGAGGAAATCTATTTGGAATTGTAATATTGGCCCCACTTGTTGTTAGTAAACTTGCCTCTGGGGTAGTGGAAGTGTCTACCCAAAAACAAGGTCATTCTATCAACAGATAGAAAAGATGCTTCTGGAGCAGATCTTGGATTCTAGTCGTTAAAGGGAGGAAAAAAATCAAGAATAAAACAGTCTGATGTGATCCCCAGCTCATATCTTCCTTGAATCTCGTTACTGTCCATCCTTGAATCCTCCCAGATATCTAGCCAGCCAGCCAGCCAGCCATCTGCCTGTCTCTCCACCCACCCATCTATCTACCCATTTAAATACTACTCACATATGTTCATGGCAGGAGAAAAAAAGAGAAAGAAAACCGCGGACAAGCCAAAAAATAAAAATAAAAAGTTACATATAATATAACAAATATAATATTATAGTTTATATCCTTTCAGAATTTATATTTGTAAATATATACAGATATAAAATAATTTTTAAAAATTTATTTGAGAGAGAGAGAGGTTGTGAGAGAGAGAGCACGAGCAGGGGGGAGAGGGAGAAGCGGGACCCCCACTGAGCAGGGAGCCAGACATGGGGCTTGATCCCAGAACCCTGAGATCATGACCTGAGCTGAAGGCAGACGCCTAAACAGCTGAGCCACCTGGGTGCCCCCAAAATAAATTTTTAATATAAATTCATCTTGTATATACACAGTTGATGTAATGTGTATACTTAAAAAAAATTGCTGTTCATTGCCCAGGAATGTTCTCCCCACCCCAACCTCTTTGCCTGTCTAACTCCTATTCATCTTTCATTACCACTGAAGCAGCACTTCCTCAGGTCGGCTTTCCCATGATCCCCTTGGATTAGGTTAAATTCTTTTGCTATTTACTCTTATGGTACTTCATGCTTGTCTTTAGTATTAGCGCTTGTCTCATTACTTCCTCAATATCTGATTGCTCTGGTCAGTCAGTTAAGAACTGTACCTGAACTCAGTGCTGTGTCCTCACTGCCTGGCTTGATCTTCCATGTAGTAGGTGCTCAATGAAGTTGGCTTAATTGAACCAGCAGTACATCTTCATGTCCGTGAAATCACATCTACATCATCATTTTAATGGTTTCATAAGATTCCATCATATATATCCTAATTGAAAATCCATTTCCTCTTTGATTAGAAAAGATAATTCTTTCTAATATTTTGCTATTTTAAGTGATACTATAATGGGTATCTTTGCCTCTTAATCTTATTTACCTTATGATTATATCCTAGCATAGATCACAAGAATAAGGGTGTACACATTTTGAAGACTTGTGAAACACATGCCAGAAATCCAGTTCTTTGAACAGTTATACTAGCTTGTACTTCCATTGATAATATATGAGATCTGTGTATTTTTTCAGGCCCCTTGATTTTGCTTAAACCTTGATAAACAGGTGCAAAAAAAAGTAACACTGTAAAATTTTGTTCTGATGATCAGGTTCATCTTCAAAATCCATAAATTTAGTCATGAAAAGGCCCAGCTGACTCTCGTTAAGCCCATTTCTATCAGCGTGTTTAAGGCCAAAATGAAAAGGAAATACTCGTGACATTCTTCTGACTTGAGTGGTGTGATTACGATCTTTTTACTCAGGCTTAACGTGTTTTTATTTTTTTGTCCTCTCAGTTCATATTGCCCAAGTGTTCCAGATATTAGCCCTGCTCCTTGACCATGTCCTGCCCAGGGTAATTTGGAATAAATGTGAAACAGGTCTGAGTGCTCACAGGAGGGTGTGAGAGGGCTTGTGAGAAGATCTGGGGTGGGCCGTCACTCAAACAGTCCAGCACTCCTTCAGCACAGTCATTGGAGAGGCCAGCAATGCTGGGCTCTGCCCGTCTTTGTCCTGTCAATATGGAATACTTTAGATGCCCCTGCTTCCTCCCTATGGAGCACCTCCATCCCCAGGGAAGCTAATTTACCCAAATAGCTGAGTCAGTTTTGGTCTTCTTTATTATGCCTTTTACTATGTGTCCTGTGTACTAGAATATTTTTTACTCCATGTGAGTTCCTACATGTTGTCCAAATACATTAAAAACAACACCATCTTATAATGTTAAAGGAGCCAAGTTTTAAAGAATGGGCTCAGGGTATGAGCGTCCATCATCACTTGACCTGATGGAAGTGTGGAATTGTGGGCTCTTTGTGGTTCTCAGACATGTCTAGGTGCAAGGACCTAAGGTACATCCTGAGGATTTAAAGAAGTTTAACAGCTAGTCCTTAAGTCCAGGCCACCATCATCTTTCATCTAATTTCCTACCCCTTTGAACTAGTTGTCCTGCCTCCTATTTTGTTCCCTCACCTCCAGCCTGTTCTCTACGCTATAGCTATCACATCCAAAATATCAATTGATGTATCCCTTAGCTTCTTCAAATCTGTCAGCGGCTTTTTCTCGGCATGAAGTCTGAACTCCTTGACCTGGCTCATAAGGCCCTCCAGTGGTCTAGACCCTGCTTATACCTCCAGCCTTGTCTCCCCATTCCTCCCTTTGTATGCTTTGCTTCTGCCAGACTCAATTTCCTAGGGGCCTAGAACAGGTCATGTTCTTTCTTACCTCTCTTTGCCTGGAATAAGTATTCTTCCCTTATATTTACCTCTCTTCTGAATAGCTATGACTCCTTCTCCAGATCTCATTTTAAACCAGCGGTTCTTAAACATTATGAATCAATCTGATGAAAACAATGGACTCTGCCCCCGCAAAAAGCAAATATGGGCTCTTGTGTGCTCATCATTTTACATGTAGTTCAAGGTCCAGGAATCCTTGCTTAAGAACCCTTTAAGCTGAGCCCTCTTTTCTAGTATTCAACATACTTTGTAATTGTTGGTTTATTTGTCTCTCTCCACTGGACTGAGCTCCATGAAGGTAGGGCTGTAACTTACTCATCGTGGTGTCCTCAGGCCTAGCACAGTGCTTAGCACACAGGGACTGTTTGATACATGTTTGTTGAATGAATGAATGAACAAACAAAAGAATGAACAAATATCTGTCCTTGATCATGCTCATTTTGGAAGAACAGTACATGCAAGGTACAGATGACAAACTGACGTAAGGGGGCTAAAAAGATGTGCAAATAACAGACATTTTCTGAAAGTTCAGAAACTGAACTTTCTGGGCGGGGCCTCCTGGGAAAGACAGGAAGAGGGCTTTTGGATTGACCTTGAAGATGGAAGGACTTATAGGATTCATGTTTTGTTTTCTAGAAATATTTTGTCAGTATAGTGGAAGTGAGGAAAGGAACAAGAATCACCAAGACTTTGTTGACTTCTGCCCCTCAGTCCAGGGAGTTGGAGTCCAGGGAATTATAAAATATCAAGAGAAAGCCCCTTTTCTTCCTTCTTTTTTTGTTTTTCTCCAACAAGTTTTTTTTTTTGTTTGTTTTAAAGATTTTATTTATTTATTTGACAGAGAGAGATCACAAGCAGGCAGAGAGGCAGGCAGAAAGAGAGGAGGAAGCAGGCTCCCCACTGAGCAGAGAGCCCAACGCGGGGCTCGATCCCAGGACCCTGAGATCATGACCTGAGCCGAAGGCAGCGGCTTAACCCACTGAGCCACCCAGGCGCCCCTCCAACAAGTATTTTTTAAGTGTTTGTTATATGCCAAGGACTTTGTTAGGTGTCGAGGATATTTTGGCAAATAAGCTTGACAAGATCTCATTCCTCTTGGTTCTTGCTTGCCTAGACCTTATGTACTAAGTTGTCCTCAGAATTTGGACCAAAGCCTTGTTTGGGAATACTTTTATCAAGGTCATTAGTTAGGGTGAGGTTTATATTACACAGGGATTTATGAGAAATGAAATGCGGTCTATAGTTAGGCCAAGATGCAAATCCCAGCCCTTTCTCTCACAAGCTATATGCAAATACCTTTTGAAATTCCAGTTCTTTAATTTGTAAAATGGAAATAATATCTACCTCCTGGAGTTGTTACAAGGATCGAGTGAAATAATGTGTGTAAACCCTTCGCAGAGGTCCCGGCACACAGTAGTAGCTATTACTGCTACCATTTTCAGAGTCTGTTTAAGCCGAAGCCTTAGTTTGGTGCAGTAACTTCTGCTGGTCTATAAGAAATAATTAAGATTGGATTAATACTTAAGATTGATACTTAAGATTAATACTTAAGATTGGATTTGACAAGTCTGCTTGACTTAAACAGGTTTCCACTTTCCTATAAGGGAACTTTATTAAAACAGATTTTGTTTTTGAGGCCATGGTCTTTCTTTCACATGTATTTTCCCCCTTGCTTATTGAAGTCTAGAAACTTCAAAGTCATGTTAAAGAAGCAGGAAAAAAAATGCCTCGAAGTTCCATCCTCTGTAAGACTGTGTCTTAATGTTTGCTGTACATTTGACTAATAGGAATGATCTTTCATTCCCCCAGAAAAATAAAACTTTTGCCCATATATACTAATATTTTCATATAATTTCAGGAGTTCCCACTTGTTTATGCCAAAGTCACAAAATTAATTAACTAATATGACTCCCAAGTACAGATCCACAGAGAGAAAACAATCAAGCAGGGCTCCATTTTCACACTCACATAAGAGTTTCTGAATCTCTTGGTTCTCGTGTTCACATGGTTCTTTTTTTCAGTCTTTTTTTCTAAGGCCCAAGTTCTTAACCAAAGAATTGACTTACTATAATTATCGCTTGCATTAAAATTGTCAACTGGATTCTTATGGATAAACTTCTTAATAGCTGTTTAGAGAGATGAGTTGAACTTCTGATTTCCTTGGGTGTGTGTTTTTATTTATGTGTCTTGGAGTAAACTCAAGAGGGGGATTGTGAGCTCCTGTCTAATGGGTGCAGTAGAAATCCACTGTCCTTTCCTGTTTCCTCTTAGCCTCTTTGTGCTGCCTCAGGGCCCTTTGTCCTGAGACCTTTTCACTGGCTTCTACCAGCAATCAGAGAGAAGACAGAAAAGAGCGGAGGGTTTCTGGTCTACCCGATCTGGCAGTGGAGGGAGTGAATAGGAGTCAGAGTAGGTTTTTCTCCCTTTCCTCCCTGTTGCAGACTCATTCAAATCTCTAACTGTGTCAGGGTGGGAATTATGGATTGGTGGAAGAATCATGGTCCGCCTGTGCAGCTTGGAGGTGGGCGTCGGCAGCCCACACACTGTACTGTACTTTATTTTCTTGGCTCCATTGCACAAATTCCACAGAGAGAAAACAACTACCCAGGCTCTGTTTTCATACTCATACAAGGGCTTCTGAATTCCTGTTTCTTGCAGTCAAGTTGCCCTTTATTTCAGTCTGCAAAGACACATGTTGAGCCTGTCTCTTCCTTCTGAACTCAGCAGTGTTTGTTGAATGAGCCTGGCTAGAGATAAATCCATGTGCTGTCTAGAGAGCACAGGCTGAGCTAAGGGCCCTCAGGACTGCACATGTGCCACGGCTGCCCCAGTTTACAGGCTTTGTCCTTCCTTTGTTGGATTATTATCAGGGCCTCCCAACTGTTTTCCCTGCCTCTGATCCAACTTCCACCATATATCCAAAATTTCATTCAGAAATACCCATTTGTTGATGTCATTCCCCTATTTATCACCTTTCAGTGGTGCTACACTGAAGATAAAGTCCAACCTCATTTGCATGGCTTACAGGATCTGCAAGGCCTGGCCCCTGGCTACCTCTCCAGCTTCCTCTCACTGTCACCTTGGACCACCCTCTCACTGTTCCCCAATTTTATCCTTTGGCACTTTCTTGCCTTTATACCTAATGTTCCTGCCTCCAGCTCATGCTCCCTCATCTTTGCTGCCTGTGGAAATACCCAGCTTCACTGAGACCTCCTATTAGGGTGGCTTCCCAGGGTTGGCTGCTCCATCTTCTGCCTTCGTGGGATTTAGTAGACAGTAGTGAGAATGAGTGTGGGCTCTAGGGTCCTACTCCCTGGTTTCAGTCCCAGCCTGGCCCCCTCCTAGATGTGTGACCGTGGGCAAAATGAATACCCTCCTGTGCCTCAGTTTCTTCATCTATAAAATGGGAGATAATATTAATGAAACTCACAAGTGGTGGTCGTGAAGATTGAAAAAGGCACCACTTTCAAATGCTAAGCATAGTGCTTAGTCACAGCACTCAGTAAATGTTACTTTGTATTGTTATACTGGTACTTTGTATATATCTCTATTAAGCTCCTATCATCTCATATATTTCTATGTATCTGCAGTGCTAGACCATGTGCTCCTTGAGGACAGGCACATCTCTTATTTTACTTTTCCTGGCCCTGTGTATATAAGCTTACAAGAGATGCTGCTTGAGTTACTGCACACAGATGTGCTTCAAATGGAAATATGCGGCAGATTGAGTGGGGAATGCTTCAGACTGGTTTGCAGATAATTATAGACCCAAAGTTGGTGTGACCCAGATGTCAGCTGTTTGAAGACTCTTCCATGCCCGAATCCCTTCTGCAGCCTCCTGGTGCTTTAATGTTGCTAAGACAGGGCAACTTTCCCTGTGAAAGTTAAGCACCAAGTTTGTGTCCGTTTGGTTTTGTTTTGGACTGTAGGTGACATGTCTGAGAGTAAAGCCAAGAAGATAGAAATCAAGGACGTGGATGGGAGGACACTGAATAAGCTGATCGACTACATCTATACAGCGGAAATTGAGGTGACTGAAGAGAACGTCCAGGTAAACTCAAACTCAGTCCTAGCTCATAGCTCATCACGCCCTCGGGGTCACTGTCTTATAGCCACATTTCACTGAACCCTCACAACAACTCACTGGGTAGCTGGAGAGGACACTAAATCTCCAGAGAGGTTAGATGACTTGCCCTGTGTCACATGGCATGTGAGTGGGTGACCGACCCTCAGAGCCATACCTGCCTGACTGTGGCACCCATGTCCTACACTGCAAAGCCACGATACCTGTGAAGGAGCTTGGGCCCCGAGCACAAAGTCTTTATATCATGTTGGTTCCAACTCTGGGTGAAGGAAGAACTCAAAGCATGGGTGACCCTTCTTCTCCCCAGTCATCATCTCATTGCAGAGAGTTTCAGTATGGATGGTGAGGTTGTTAAACATTTTTCCTGTTTCAACGTGAGTCAGCCGAGTTTCTCTGAGCGCTCAGGCTCAGCAGTGGAGGTGCCAAGCCCCCAAGTCTGAGCTTCAGCAGGGGTGTGTGGCTGTGAAGCATGTGCCTTTTCCTCCATTTGTGGCCCTGCCCTCATCCTTGGCCATTTAGAGCCTTGAAAAGAGGAGCCAGGGAAGACATGGCTTCACCCAAAGGTGTGCGTCTTTACCGTGGGGACATGACACAGCATGGACCTGCTTCAGTAGGGGAGATGGTTGAGGATATGGCCCGCTATGGAGGCCTTCAAAGGCCAGGGCTAAACCCAGACGCAGGACAGACTATTTCTTGTCAGTTAGGGCCTTACTATTTCAGTGAAGTGCTGGAAGTTGCAGGTGATACAAAGGATTTTTCTTTTATCTTCTTTTAAAAATTCCACCCGATTTATTGTGAGGCACATACCTCTCCAGTGACCAAAATACCTCTTCCCCTTCTCCAGAACACCACTTCCTTTATCAGGATAAGGTATTTGGGTGGCTAAGTTGGTCCTCATTCATTCATTCACTCATCGAATTCAACCCAAGTGTTTGAGTGCCAGTTATATACTGGCTACTTTGTGGGGCACAGTGATTGTGACAGGAGCTGTGGCAACTCCATCGCCTGCTGTCATGCAGTTTGTGGTCTAGAGGTGAAGACACATGCTCGTCACGTAAGCACACAGGAAGTGTCTGTGCTTTACAGTTGTACACACTATCTCCCAAAAGAGCCCTTTCCAGATCCTCTCATCCATCCACCCCTGCCTCGATGAGGGGACTCAGTCTGGATGGATGAGAGGATCTGGAAAGGGCTCTTTTGGGAGATAGGATTTAAGCTGTGGCCAGCACAGGTGGGGGAGTTAGCTTGGTGTGCTGCAGAGTACCGTGAGGGTGAAGGGTACATGATGCAGGCGGGTGGGGGGTGGGGTGGGAGGTGCCCTGCATTCCGTCCTGCAGAGCCTGCCTCTGGATAGAGCCTGCCTTTGTCTCTGGCCTCTGGACTTGGATTATTCAGTGATCTAATCTAACAATCCCTTGCTCTTTTAAAAATGGAGTTATATTTTATACACTGTAAAACACATAGCCTGCCCCTTTTGTTTCTGGTCTTTTTCATCCAGAATGGAGTGGGCAGCAGAGTACTCACATCTCAGGTCTAGTAGCAGAATTGAAACAGTGGGATAACTTTTGGGCACTAACAGTGAGTGCAGAGTAATTTGGTATGAAATGATTATAGTATGTGTGTTGAAGAAACATGTTAAATAGATGATGGTTATACCATTGCCATCACATTCATGTTCACTTTGATACTTTTAAAAAGTGGTGTAAATATTGAAATTTACAAGATCCAAAAAAATTACATCTTTTGCAACTATGAAAAGTGCTAGATGTCAACCTAAAAATATGCAGGGGGTAGAAAATTTTTAAATTTTTAAAAATCTTGCATTAGGTTCTAATCTATAACTTTAAACAGAGATTTATTTATTTTAGAGAGCAGGGGAGAAGGGCAGAGGGAGAGAGTGTTTTAAGCAGACTTTGCACTGAGTACAGAGCCCGATGTGCGGCTTGAGCTCATGACCCTGAGATCACAACCTGAGCCAAAGAGCCCGGTGCTCAACCAGCTGCACCACCCAGGTGCCCCTAATCAATAACTATTAATCCTATAGTGTCATAGGCAGAGTAATGACCCCCCCTCCTAATGTTCATGTCTTAATTTCTGGAACCTGTGAATATGTTAGGTTAACTGTCAAAGAGGAATTAACCTTGCAGATGGAATTAATGTTGCTGATCAGCAGAACATGTGATGGGGAGATTACCTCAGATTATTGGGGGGGGGGGTGTAGTCACAGTGGTTTGCTAAAGTGGAAGGGGGAGGGGAATAAGGAGAACCAGAGAGATGTGACCCAGCACAGGCTCAATTTGATGTTTCCATCTCTGAAGACAGGGGAGCCATGAACCAAGGAATGTAGGTGGACTCTAGAAGCAAGAAAAGCTAGGAAACATATTCTCCCTTAGAGCTTTCAGAAGGAACACAGCCCTGTTGACACCTTTATTTCAGTCCAGGGAGACCCGTTTGGGACTTATGACTTCCAGAAGTTCCAGAAAGTGAATTTAGCCACTAAGACAAAACCAATATCCACCCTCTCCTCCCCTGCAAAAAGCCCCCACAATGCTGTAGGTGAGGTTGTAGATTCTGTGACTGGAACCAGCTTTTTCTTCCCTTTTTAGCATGTATTTGCCTATTTACTGAGTAGTACCTCCCCCCACCCTGCCCCCGTAAAGTGCAAAGTGTTTACAATCTTGAATAATTAGAAGATGTTCCACTCTGGATCCTCATTGCCTGACTGGGTGTTGATCTTTGCAGCTTCGGTCTAACACAGTGGTAGTGTGTACAACTCTGTGTTATTAAGGCAGGAGCAGCAGATAGACTCCCCAGAGGACTGTGTAGAACCTGGCTTCACCATTGCTTCCTGTAAAGCTACTTTACAGGGCGCCTGGGTGGCTCAGTGGGTTAAGCCGCTGCCTTCGGCTCAGGTCATGATCTCAGGGTCCTGGGATCGAGTCCCATATTGGGCTCTCTGCTCCGCAGGGAGCCTGCTTCTTCCTCTCTCTCTGCCTGCCTCTCTGCCTACTTGTGATCTCTGTCTGTCAAATAAATAAATTAAAAAAAAAAATCTACTTTACAGGGGGAGGGCAGGGGGCCAGCGTGAAGATGTGCAGGTTCAAAGGAGGAAGTAGAAGTAGTGGGGAGGCAGGAGTTGAGTGCAGATGGAGGCCTGACCCCATGCCTTGGCCTCCCTACTGATGCGCAGAGTGCTCTTACTCTAGCCCCGTCTCCCTACAGGGTGTCATTTCCCCAGCAAAGTGAGGCCCTGGGTTTCCACGAGCTCTGGCCAGGGGAGACTCTTACTGGGTCAGCCTCTGATTTGTGTTCCCTCCCTTTTACCGCAGCCTCTCTGACACCCATACCAATAGCTTGCCTCAAGGATCAGTTTTCTTTTCTTTTTTATTTATTTGACAGAGCGAGCACAGGCAGATAGAGTGGCAGGCAGAGGCAGGTTCCCTGCTGAGCAAGAAGCCCGATGTGGGACTCGATCCCAGGAGGCTGGGATCATGACCTGAGCCGAAGGCAGCTGCTTAACCAACTGAGCCACCCAGGCGTCCCAAGGATCAGTTTTCTTAATTGTACCCATTCTGTGGGGTGGTCACAAGTCAGACTCTCTGCCTTCAAATACTGGCTCCAGCATTTTCTAGCTGTGAGACACCAAGCAAGTTACTTAACCTTTCTGTGCCTCAGTGTCTTCATCTGAATATGGGCATAATATTAGCACACAATCTCAGAGGGTTGGTGTGAGGATTAAATACATTAATATAGGTAAAAGCCTTAGAACATTGCTCCCCTGTGCCAGCAGAGGTACGGACACTGTGAGCACACAGTGCTCCCTGACACCAAGGAGCACGTGATCTAAGCCTGGAGACAGATGGCTAAGCACCTGGGTCCTCCCCGCTGTGGTAGGGCCAGTTTGGAGGTACCCAGGATGCAGAGAATGGCCCTCACTGCCTTGATTAGGCTCATCAGGGGGCCATCCTCCCTGAGGAGGTGTTGTGTGGACCCCATCTTGGAGGAAGACCCTGAGGTCAGGCTTTCCTCCTCGGCTCCCATGTCTGTGCGGCCCTTGGTGTTGTGAGTGAGTCCCTGAGGGGCTGGCTGCGTACAAAACTTAAAAGGTTGAGAGGAGCCAGTCGGGATGAGATCGTGCTGCTGCTTCATGCTGTGCTGTATCTGCCCAGGCATTTGCACCATGGAGGTGGGCATGGGGCCACCTGGGCTCCCCTGAAAGCCTGAGAAACAGGGCTTGGTTAAATGGCTCGCAGAGCTCCACTCTTAATTCCTTCCCAGCCCACCCTTTCCCTGGAGAGACTGCATTGTCTTTCCATGGTGGAGGTAACTGCCGTCAGAATTGGCACTTAGTGAAACTGGTTGTAAGGCAAGCCTGCTCAGGTCACTTCATGTGCTTTATTTCACCCAATTTCATCACCACCAAACAAGTACTCTAATACGGTCCTCCTTTGATAGCTGAAGAAGCTAACGCTCCGGGGTGGTTAAATAGGTAGTGGCATTGGGGTTTGAACCCTGCTCTCCCTGCCTCACTGTGTTCTGTTGTCGTGGTGACCTTGAGTTTCTGGTTAAATGAAGGATCAGCATCTTGACTCCAGCTCACGATAATCAATAATAGTAAACATTGGTTTCACTGAGCCCTCCCTGTGCACCAGGTACTCTGTTGCCTGCTTTCAATGTATTATCTCATTTGATTCTTGGAACAAGCCTTAAAGGTAGTACCATCAGGGTCTTTACTTTACTGTGGAGGAGGCAGAGCACAGAGAGGTTGATTTGCCTTTAGTCACATGGCTGGTAAGTGGAGAAGTCAAGATTCCAAGGGACACTTTTTACCCCATTAGTGCTAGTTTGCTAGCTTTCCTGCTCATCTGCGTACCACTCTCCCCCTCCCTCCTTCTTCCCTCCTTCTCTCTCTCAGTCTCTCTCTCTCTTTTCCCTCCCCACTTTCTTTCTCTCTCTCTTTTTTTAACATTAAAAAAATATTTTTATTTAACAATGTTTTTGTGCCAGGCCTTATGCCTGAGGTTGGCAGAAATGGACCCACTGTGTGGCTGAGACCTTTGGCCTGTCACCTGGCCCTCTGCTAGGTGGTCTCCCTCCCTCTAGGCATGGCCCTGCCTCCCTGAAATTCCAGGAGTCTGAGGCAGGGCATTTCCTTTTGTTTTTGTTAGAGGAAACAAACTCAGTGACGGGATATCCTTTGCTGTGTTTTCATGTTATCCGAGGGAGAGAAAAAAACAAAACGGCCTGCTGGTGGAAAATGGAGGGGAGGCCATTTGCAAGCTAGAGGGAAACCTGTCAGCTCCTGCTGAGGGTCATTCTAGAGCCTGTTTTCCCAGAACTAAAATGTTGGGGTGGCAAGAGGCAATCCGAAGGCTTTTGGACCTCGAGTCTTCTTGTGTCTCCATGGTGGTTCCAGCCAGCAGCTAGTCTGGTGTTGGCCCCTCCTTCCAGGGACCAAGCGGTACTACCCCTGTGAGCCCACCAAGCTGAGGACCTGAGCTTGGCCTCTTGCTCACGGCCCCTTGTTACTGCCCCTCAAGGGAATGGAGGTGCACTCGAGATAAGAGAAGAGGAAATCCTCTGAAAGCCCTTGTTGATGTGGGAGAGGGAAGCGAGGACAGCCACCTTATGGATATTTTGCAGTCTTTTCTTTCACAGCCTCTGGGGATTTGTGTCTGTTGGCATCGTGTGCAGCCCCCAGAACCCCAGCGGATGGGGGCCTCAGTTTATCCCTGAGACGCAGAGTTGGAGCAGTGATAAATCTTCCAGCCTCCAAACCTTGCCCTCAGCTTTCTGACTTACTTTACTTTTCTTCATGCCTTCCTGTATGAAGCAAGTAGTGGGAAGAAAAGGCCCTTTGAGTCATAGCTAATCACAGTGTAAGATCAAAGAGAGGGAAGGCGCAATTAGAGAAACCACAAGCCCCGTTCACTTGAGGAAGTCATCTTGGGAATGCTTTTGGGCAGGAGTGGACCTAAACAGGATGGTGGGTGGGAGGATGTTGTGGAAAGGTGGAAAACCTTATAATTTTTGCCCACTTAGTGTGTTTTTTGAACAGTAGGGGAAAACCATGTGGGTAGCTCTATCCAGGGAGGTTTTATTTATTTATTTATTTATTTTTAAAGATTTTATTTATTTATTTGACAAAGATCACAAGTAGGCAGAGAGGCAGGCAGAGAGAAAGAGGAGGAAGCAGGCTCCCCACTGAGCAGAGAGCCCGATGTGGGGCTCGATCCCAGGACCCTAAGATCATGACCTGAGCCGAAGGCAGAGGCTTTAACCCACTGAGCCACCCAGGTGCCCCTCCAGGGAGGTTTTAAAAACTGAAAAGATAACCTGAAGAATATGTTCAGGAAGTATTTATTATTTAATTTCTTTGGACGATTGTCACGAGCTTGAGAATTTAAGCACCAAACCCTGCCACTGCCTTTGGTGGGGGAGGGAGAGGCGTGTGTCCCAGGCAGGCTGTCATGGTGACTTGCCTGGAAATGCAATGTGGGGGCGGACTGGACTTGTGGAAATCCTCCCCTTTGGGGCTCAAAGGGCTGCTGTCCCCTTCCTGCTTCTTCTCAGCCTGACCCTTTTGGGGCTTGTCCCACCACTGAGTATGGTATGTGCTGGACAGTATTTGATTATTCCTCTCCATCTGGGGTTCCTAGGGTAACTGGTTAGAAGTTCCTGGCCCCAAGTGTGATCAGCTGCCTCAGTTTGCCTAGGACTGTGGAGTCTCCTGGGACAGAGAACTTTCAGTGCTGAAACTGGCAAAGTTTCAGCAGACCAGGATGATTGGTCAACCTGTGGCCCCAACTGTAGAATTTGTAGCTAGTGCTGGTCCAGGGGGTATCGTAGAGGTCATTTGGGGATTTGAAGCATAGCTTTCCATTCCTGCTATGTGTTCAGCAAGGATTGTTAATGGTTGTCTACTTAACTAGCAGGCCGAGACTAATCTGGTCGTAGAATCTGTTTGGCTAGGCTGAGCAAGCTCCCAGGTTAATTGAGGTTCTCAGTTTATGGCTGCTTAGTGGGGATGGAGCTCAAGTGGTCAGATGTGGCGTTACCTTATGGCCTAAAACTCCCAAGAGTGGTGCTTTTATCTTTCTCCTCCGGAATGAACCAGTGGCTCAAAAAATACTAAGGATATGATGTTAATTTACTGTTGGGGACTTAAGAGAGTAGAAGAGAAGGGAGAGGAGCATGCTTTCTTTAACTTCCTGGAACTCAGCTATGTGAGGGAGGAAGTTAAGCTCCTAGGAAGGAAAACCTTGCCTAGTGGAGAGTAGGTACTTAGCTCGGGAGTAGGACCATGGGTGGTGGAGGCTCTTGGTGGTTTCTGCAGGTGGGCAGGGATGAGGAAAGGTGACCAGCTACCCATGTTTTAGCACTGAAATCCCTGTCTCCTAGGTCCCAAGAAAACTTGGCTGCTTACTGTAGTTGAAGGACAAGGCCCAAGAATCAGCAGTGGGCCAGGGTTTTTGGCTTTTTTGCATGGAGGAATTCAAATATGTTTTGGGAGAAAGTCAGGGTCTAGGATTTAAATTGCTTAAAAAAAAAAAAAAAAGAATAGTGCCCTGGATTAAGAAAACAAATTCATCATTAGCCTATGTCTTCCTGGGCAAGCCCTTGTGGATGAGAACAGCTGAAGTCTAGTTGGCTCAGACATTCTCTCTGAGAGCCAGGGGAGCAGCTGAGAGCAAAGGCCTGGGATGCGGGTGTTATTTTGGGGTAAAATGGATGCTGGGGCCCCTGAGATAAGCAGCCTCAAATGAAACTATAATGCTTGGTGATTTTTTTTTTTTTTTCTTTTTGGAAAGTCACTGTTAGACTGTCTACCCTTTCCCTAGGGCAAGGGTGATGGCAAGCAGAGCTGGGGGTCTAGTAGACTGTGCCATTTCTTCTGGATTTTTGATCCAAGGGGCAGGCTTTGGCAGCTGTGGGAAAGTCCTCAGGAAACTAGAGTGCAGTTGGCGGTCTGAGCACCCCTCTGACCTGCTCAAGCCAGTCTTCCCTGGCTTTTAGGAAAAACACCTGCGCAGGAACTATTTCTGTTTTCCAAGATACAGTGTAAATACCCATGTGTTCTATGACCTTTTAAAGGAAACTTCTCTCTGCTTTCTGTGAGAATGTACCCAGAGATGTTCTTTACCATGTATCTGTTGGATGGGAGTATACAGTGTGATTGTGTGAGTCTCAAAGGATTTGGGGGTCACTCTTTTTATCCAGTAGATTGTAAGCTCCTTAAGAACCGGGGTCTGGCTTACTGCACTTACCACTAAACCCCATAGCCTAGACCAGTACCTGACATACAAATGCTTAGTAATTAAGTGGTGGAGGCAGTAGTGAGCAATTTACTAAGCACCCGAGGGAAAAAGTCTGTAGGGAAATGCTTCTCAAACTTGGATGTATGTTAAAAACACCTGGGGAGCTTTAGAAACATCTCACTGCCAGGCCGCACCTCATACCTCTGAAGTATGAATCTTTGGGGCTGAGACCCAGGCATCAATATCTTATTTCAAAGATTTTATTTATTTATTTGGGAAAGTGAGAGAGAGAGATCTTGAGAGAACGAGTAGGGTGGGGGTGCAGAGGGAGAAGCAGAGTCCCTGCAGAGCAGGGAGCCCGATGCAGGACTCGATCCCAGGACCCTGGGATCATGCCCTGAGGTGCAGGCAGACACTGAACCGACTGAGCCACCCTGGCGTCCCTCGCAGTTTAAAAATTCTCCAGGTGATTCAGTGTGTAGCCAGGTAGGAGAGCCAATCTATCTTGGTCGGCTTGGGCTACCATAACAGAATGGGTGGCTTAAACAACAGAGATTTGTTTTTCTCCTGGTTTTGAACATTTGAAGTCTGAGATCAAAGTTCTAGTTGATTCAGTTGCTGGTGAGACTCCTCCTGGCTTTCAGAAGGTTGCCGTCTCCCTGTGTCCTTACACTGTAGAAGAGAGAGCTCTGGTGTCTCTTTCTCTTCTTGTGAGGACCCCATCTTGATGACTTCATTTAATCTTTATCACCTCTTCATAGGTCCTATCTCCAGATACAGTCATGTTGGGGTTCAGGTTTCAACATACACACCTGGGGGAGGAGGGCATCAACATTCCGTCCATAAGGGGCCTGTTACTCAGAGTTTGGTTCTTGGACCAGCAGCTGCAAGCAGCACCTTCGTTAGAAATGCAGGCTCCCAGGCCACACCCTAGACATCTTGAATCAGAATTTTAATAAGATCCCCAGAGATTTCATATACACCTGAGTGATGGGGAGGTACTGCTGTGGAATGTAGGGGATACAGAGACTCTGCTGGTGCTTAGGGCTGTGAAGTGGAGAGTCGTGGGAAATAAAGGTCGGCTGCTCCGGAGGAGGTTTGGACTGCGTTGGACAGGCAGGGGAGGGCCACGCAAGGACCTTGAGTGAGGGGCTGCTGTGATCAGAACAGTGCTTTGGGGAGACGAGGGCCTGCTGGAGGGGATCTGGTGTCTCAGCCTGTCACCTTCTCCTGCAGGTGCTGCTCCCAGCGGCCAGCTTGCTGCAGCTCATGGACGTTCGGCAGAACTGCTGTGACTTCCTGCAGTCTCAGCTGCATCCCACCAACTGCTTGGGCATCCGCGCGTTTGCAGACGTGCACACCTGCACTGACCTTCTGCAGCAGGCCAACGCTTACGCAGGTAACCGCGAGCCGGGTGCCCCCTTCCCCCCCCCCCCCCCCCAATTTGTGGATTTAAGCACCTGGTCTGCAGTGGACTCAGTTTTGGTGAGAAGTGCACTCTCCTGGGAAGCAGTTGTAACCGAGTCAGGGAGTCAAGACATGTGGAAGGATAGAGGAGAGAAGCGTCCCGCTCCTCGCCAAGTGGAATGGGATTAATTGCCAGATGGTACAGACAGTCATTTTCACGGGAGAAGAGGAAAGACATCTGAGAAGACTTTGGGGGAGGGAGGAGTCATTTGAGCTAGGTCTTGAAATAAATCTTTGTTGTTGTTGTTTAAGAAAATTTCTTTTTTGATCCAAATGTTCTACGGGTACGATTTTAGAAGTCAAATACTACCTCACGTCTTCTAAAGGGAAGCCAGAGGCTCCAGCTCTGCCTTTCCACAGCAGGTCTTCTTCTGGAGGTCTACTCACCCTCCTCCAGTTCTGAAGGAATTAAAGTGCAGGTTCTGATTCCATAAAAAGCTCCTTTGTCTACCCTTTCCCTCTATTTATCTAAATAAAATGTTTGTATCACTGCTTAGGACGTATTCGTTGGAAATAGATCTGTTGACTTTTCACAGAAGTACAAGACTGAGCCTTCACAGACTTTCCCTCATGGATACATGCTTTTCCCCACTTTATTCTCATAGTACCATTTCTACAGCTGACCTGAGTTATAGATTATAATTAGTTTTTTTTTTAATCAGAAAGGCAGTTAATTAGCGCCCTTTTCCAGGCTGGAATTTTATTCGGTCCATAATTTTATTCAATTTGTAATCTCACAGACATTAGAGAACATCTAAAGAGTGCTGATTAATAGGAAATTAAGGGTAGCAGAGTTGGTACTAGGCATAGGCTATGAGATCACATTGTTCTCCTTATTTGGGGAGTACATTTATTCAACAGTGGCTTGAATGCCTACTGCTAGACCGTTTTTAGGTGGTGGACAAATCTTGGAAAACTGAACAATCGATGTGTCTGCTCTCATGAAAAAGAAATTGCCCTTTTCTTTTTTATAGTGAGCATTCCTACCACTAATTCTTAAAAGGCAGATGTTTGTAAGAATTGAACAGTAACTGTTCATCAGATAATGTGCTGATTCCAGTTTGTTCCTCTGCTAAAGCTTGTTATCCTCTTGTTTTTTTTTAAGTTTAAATTCAATTAGCCAACATAAAATACATCATTAGTTTTTGGTGTAGTGTTCAATGATTCATTAGTTGTGTATAACACCCAGTGCTCATCACATCGTGTGCCCTTCTTAATGCCTGTCATTCAGCTGCCCCATCCCCCACCCACCTCCTTCTCTGCAACCCTCATTTTGTTTCCTGGAGTCAAGAGTCTCTCACGGTTTGGCTGTCTCTCTGATTTCTTCCCATTCAGTTTCCCCTCCTATCCCTTACGGCCCTCTGCACTATTCCTTATGTTTCACATATGCGTGAAACCATATGGTAATTGTCTTTCTATGCTTGACTTATTTCACTCAGTGTAGTCTCCTACAATCCCATCCATGTTGATACAAAAGTTGGGTATTCATCCTTTCTGATGGCTGAGTAATATTCTGTTGTATAAATGAATGCATCTTCTTTATCCATTCATCTGTTGAAGGACATCTCGGCTCCTTCCATAGTTGTGGCTGTTTATGCTTCTATGAACATTGGGGTGAGTGTTTCCTTTCTTTGCACTACATCTGTATCTTTAGGGTAAATACCCATTAGTGCAATTGCTGGGTCATAGGGAAGCTCTATTTTTAACTTCCTGAGGAACCTCCATACGGTTTTCTTTTCTTTCTTTCTTTTTTTTATTAACATATAATGTATTATTAGCCCCAGGGGTACAAGTGTGTGAATCACCAGGTTTACACACTTCACAGCACTCACCATAGCATATACCTTCCCCAATGTCCATAACCCAACCACCCTGTCCCTCCGTACTCTTTTCCAGAGTGGCTGCACCAGCTTGCATTCCCACCAACAGTGTAAGAGGGTTCCCCATTCTCCACATCCTCTCCAACACTTGTTGTTCCCTGTGTTGTTAATTTTAGCCGTTCTGACTGGTGTAAGGTGGTATCTCATTGTGGTTTTGATTTGGATTTCCCTGATGTCATCCTCTTGTTTTAATGGGGTTTTGGGAGAGAGTGTAGAGATGGACATGAATGCTCAGTCCACCATGTTTAGCTGGAAAGAAATCTTCATTTTTCAAAAAGATTTTATTTATCTTACAGCATGAGTTGGGGTGGGGAGGAAGAGAATCTCTGGTAGACACCACATGAAGTGCAGAGCCCAATGCAGGTCTTTTATTTTTAATTTTTTATTTTTTAATTTTATTTTAAAAATTTTTTAAAAAGATTTTATTTATATATTTTCAGAGAAAGATCACAAGTAGGCAGAGAGGCAGGCAGAGAGAGAGAGAGAGAGAAGCAGGCTCCCCGCCGAGCAAAGAGCCCGAGATGGGGCTCAATCCCAGAACCCTGAGACCACGACCGGAGCTGAAGGCAGTGGCTTAACCCACCGAGTCACCCAGGTGCCCCCCAATGCAGGTCTTGATCCCACATCCCTGGGATCGGACCTGAGCCAAAACCAAGAGTCGGATGCTTAACCAACTGAGCCACCCAGGCACCCCAGAAATCTTCACTGATGTTTATTTCGACTTGAGGACAAAGGAAGACCATGAGTGGCTCAGGTAATTTTAAACAGTAAGTTCAGGCTTGACTCCCTCCTTCCCTTCCAGTAAAGCATCTCATTCTTCCCCCTGGCCATACAAATACCGTCAATCCTCTGTTTTGTGTCTCCTGTCCAGCCCACGTCTGGATATTAGCCGAAGGCCTGCTGGGTGTCCACCTGCCAGCTCCCTGTGCTGTGTTGGCCCCTTAGTCCACAAGGCACTGAGCATGTGCTCTATTTCTTAGAATCCTTGTGTTCCTTTATCAACCCCCAGACCCCTCATAGACCTCATATGAGAGCCCTCATAGACTCTCATTTCGCCCTGAATTTTGTTTTGGATCCAAATGGGGCCAGTTGTTAAGATGATGATTTTTGTGAAGGACGTTCCCCAGTTGGCCCAATTCTGAATTCTGATGGCTCTTCAGACTCTGAACCTTGACTCTCTTGATTCTCCGCTGTCCCTTCTCTGCCTTCTTTCATGTTCCTGTCTCTCACTTTTTACTACTTTTTCCTCAAGGAGCCCTTTGGGCTCCCTAGCTCAGCATTTGAAGAGGTCACTTTTTTGAGGGACATGCTCAGGCTTTGCTTCAGCAGGAGCCAAGAGCTTGGCCAAGGCCCAGGTCAGCTTGTGAACATCTGCTGGTGCGGGGGCAAAGGGAGAGTACTTACATGCCAGGAATTCTCTTTCTCTCTTCCCTGTCCCGCCCCCAGCCTTCTCCTTCTGTTTAGCATGTGCACGCATGTAGGGTTTTGTGTTTTGTAGTTGGCTGATGCAATTTTCCGAGATTTGGGCTGTGTCCTGAAACCCCAACTTTGACAAGTCTCCCTCCTTCTTCTGGCCTGGCTTTCCCACACTTTTACAATCTGTCTTTTCTCCCTTTGGCCTTCACTGTCTGATGGTGACAGACACCAGTGGGAAAGTGGGGAAGAAGCAGTTGGAACACACTGTGGGCTGTGTACTCCCTGGTCCTGGTGCTGTCACAGGGATTGGGTCCAGTCAGTGTTGTGGGTGTGTGTGCACGTGAGTATGTATGCAGATATGCTGGTAAATTATTTTTAGTTGGCATTTACGGAGCCGTCACTATGGGTCACCCCTGGCTAAACATTGTATACACATCATTTCATTTAATGCATGCAGCAGCTATGGAAACTAAGGCACAGAGTTGGGGGTCACTTAGCTGGTAGAGACAGAGACAGGGTTCAAACCCAGATAATGGTGACTCCAGAGCCAATGTTGATAACTACTATATTCGTTGACTTTGAGGCTAACATTTGGACATAAAGAGGCCCTGTGGATTAGTAACCAATGAGTGTTGGTGCCTAGAGTTGACATTTTTCACTGGAAGTGTGAGCCTGGAAGACCGTACTATGTAGTCACCAAATCCCAGCAGCCAGACCATGTAGACAGATGACCAGCTTCTCTGCTAGACTTGGAGTGTTTAGTCATCTTTGGGTGGGGAAGTGAGATGTAGATGTCTTCCCTTCCCTGTTGGCAGACTGCCCTCTGATGGCACATGTGAGTCCTCCCACTGTCCCTGGCACGGCTAGTGTGATTGCAGACTGAGAGTCTCCTCCCTGTGGTGCAGGCCTTCTGTGGAGCCCATGACCATCTCCTATGTGACGCGTTCTCTGTAGCCCTCAGCCGTGCACAGCAGAGAAGTCATGGTAATGCAGAGGTTGGTAAGATCTTGACAGAAAGATTTTAGGAGAAGCAGGGTGAAGGTGAGATTGTGAAGTGTTTAAAGAAGGATATGTAAAATGATTACCCACACTTAATCCCTCATACCTACCCATGGATATGAGTCGGCTTTTTTTGTTTGTTTTTTCTTTTTTTTTTTTTGGTCTTGTACCTCTTGACTTTTAGATGGAACCTGGCATTCCTTGCCATCACTGCCTCTTGAGACAGAGCTGATGGCTTGTCTCAGTCCCATTGTAAGTGTGAGGATGTAGGCACTGACATATAAGGGGCAGGCAGTGTCAGCCCTTGTGGTCACGGGCCTTCCTGCACCATGCCTCACATTAGGAGGTGTTTTAAACCAGTAGTTTCTTCTACAAGGAGACCTTCCACTTCAGAACCAGGGATTAGACCATCCAACACTTGGAGCTGAGCAACCCAGGCCTTTTTTCCTCTCTGTGATGGGGTAGTATATGCATCATGCTGTGTTTCTGGGGTGGCTTGGGGGATGGGAGGATGGTGAGGAGGGCCACCTGCAGATGTAGATGTCCCCAGCAGCTGTGTTCCAGAGCCTCCCTGCGGGTCTCATGATCTGCAGTAAGAGGGCCTCCCATCCGATCCTGGTGGACCGATGAGGCTCCC